ATGTCCCACTGAGTATGGTCAGTGTTTAAAGTTTTAGCCATTCTAGTGAGTGTGTAGTGTTATCCTTTTGTGATTTTGATTTACATCTCCTTAATGACGACTAATCATGTTGAACATCTTTGCATGTACTCATTTACCACCCATACAATCTCACTGGTGAAGTGTCTGTTAACATTTTTTTTTCCATTTGGGTTGCCTTCTTATTAAGTTGTAAGAATGCTCTATATATTCTAGATGCAAGTTCTCTTCAAAATTTTGAAGAAAATTGCTTATAAACTAACTTTTTCGGGCGCCTGGGTGGCTCAGTTGGTTAAGCGACTGCCTTCGGCTCAGGTCATGGTCCTGGAGTCCTGGGATCGAGTCCCGCATCGGGCTCCCGGCTCAGCGGGGAGCCTGCTTCTCCCTCTGACCCTCTCCCCTCTCATGCTGTTTCTCTCTCAAATAAATAAATAAATAAAATCTTAAAAAAAAAAAACTAACTTTTTCCAAAATTTTAAATGATTACTCTGCTTTGCTTTGTATTTAAAAAAAAAAACTTCACTAAACCAAAGTTCACTAAGACTTTACCCTATGTTTTTTTCTAGGTGTTTGATAGGTTTTGCTCCTACATTTAAGTATATGGTCCATTTTGCACTGATTTTTAAAAATATGATGTGAAAATGTAAAGTAAGAGTTGAGTTTTTTGTTTTTGTTTTTTTTTTTTTTCATGTAGCAAAACTGTTTTAGAATCTTGATTGGGGAAGTTATACTTTCTACATGTCCACACTGAGTTATCTTCCATCATTGTTGAAAAACAATCAAGCATGTATGTGTGTATCTATTTCTGGGCTCTTTATTTGTTCCATTGACCTGTACATCCATTTTTATGCCAAAAGCACAACTTTTCCTCAGTTGGGTTAATAAATATCCTTTAAATTATTACTGTGTTCTTTGGATATGTTGCCATCACTTTTTGAGTAATTCTTTAGTTCCTGGCACAAAGGCATAGTCTATGTTCATCTTGTATTGCCTTAAGACATACAGTCAGCCTTTTCTCCGACAAGCCCTATTTCCTATCAGTGAAGAATGGTATTTATTATTTTTTTTTAAGATTTTATTTATTTATTTGAGACAGAGAGAATGAGAAAGACAGAGAGCACATGAGAGGGGGGAGGGTCAGAGGGAGAAGCAGGCTCCCTGCCGAGCAGGGAGCCCGACGCGGGACTCGATCCCGGGACTCCAGGATCATGACCTGAGCCGAAGGCAGTCGCTTAACCAACTGAGCCACCCAGGCGCCCCGAAGAATGGTATTTAGAAGCCGAGATCTGAGTGCTAGTCATGAGCACTCATGACTAGTAGAGCACTATTATTGCCATACCACGTGGTGGACAAGCTAGAGCATATATGTATGTATATGCGCACACATAATAGACACATATACACAGGATGCATACATTTACATCTATAATTCCCCATCTTTACCTACTTATTAACAACCACTATTTCACATTGATACTGCCAATTCCAAAATAAGGTTAATTCTAATTTTTTTTTTCTTTCTGTATTTGAACTGCCTTCTGTGACAATGAGAAAGCTGGCTTCTAGTATCATAAATATATTACTTATTTGATCAACCTCCCTTTATGTGATCACTCTGCCACCACCACTGCCACCCTTCTTCTGCATAAATTCCCTCCTTATCTTGCCAGGCCTCTCATGCTGGACTCTCCTCTATGTGAAATCCTGTTTCACATTCTTGGGTTATGATACCTTTTGCTTGACTGTTTTCACGGAAGGATGCCCTCCGTACCCTGCTTAGACCCAGATACCCCAAACTAGAACACTCCTCTTCAGGGAATTCCCCTTCTCCACCCCTGAAACCTATGCAGATATTTACCTAAATTAGCTACATTGAATGGCCTTATGATTGAACTGTTCTGGAAAGAAAAGAAAGAGAAGAAGAAGAGGAAGAAGAAAAAGAAAAATAAGAAAAACAGTGGGATTGATAAAAAGTAACTATATTTTGGGGCACCTGGGTGGCTCAGTCAGTTAAGCGTCTGGCTCAGGTCATGATCTCAGAGTCATGGGTCCAGCCCTGGGTCGGGCTCCCTGTTCAGTGGGGAGTCTGCTTGGGATTCTGTCTCTCCCTCTCCCTCTGTGCCTCCTGCTGCGCTCGCTCTCTCTCTAAGCGAATAAACAAAATCTTTAAAAAAAAAAAAGTAATTACATTTTGTCTTTGAATGATAGTGCAACTCTACTATTGATATTACAGGAAAGAGTATCTTAAGACAGGAGAGGCCTCAAGGACATATAAAGTACATGTAAATAACATATTCATAATCTGTACTCTAATTTACATTGTATCTTTAAATTAAATGTAACTATGGAAGTCAAGGCTGCTACAGCTGTCATTTCACATATTCCTCTCCCCTCTACTGCTAGGGTAAGACAAATAGTGCATTCATTATTGTGATTATATATTTTTAAACTCCAACACAGGAGTAATGGTCGAGGAAATTTAGAAGTGATATCTGACATTCACTTTTTAAGTTGCTGGGTTTTTTCTTGAATCTTTAAGAGAATTAAGCCTTTTGAGATGATTTGCTCAATAAATAAGACGACTTGCTTCAGTGCTTGGTCAAGGGACATAGAGAAGGTTAGTAGTTAGAGAGGACAGATGGGTGTGAGGGGACTGAAAACCAAACAAGCAGCAGGAACCTGTAAACAGATGAATCCATATACAGAGTTGGTAGAAGAAAGTATCTGCAGTCAGAAATGAGCTATAGAGGTTAATGTTAACACAAAGCTCTATGAAATTAAATTTCATTCATTATTGTGGCATATATGTATAAGTATTAAAAAGGTTCTAAGCTCCAGGAATGAGCAAACCAGAGCAGGAAAACTTTTTGAAAAATTTAAATGATGTAAGATTTTACTTTTATCACACTAATATTCATGGTTTCATAAACACAATGAAAGGCATCATTAAATTATTTTTAACAAATTCTAAAAGTCCTAGGGAGTAATTTCACTTATTTTGGCCTCTAAAATATGAATTCCAGTTTTCAAAAAATGTAATAAATTCTTAAATCCAAAAGCTACAGAACACCCACTGAATACCACTCTGTATGTAGATTGAGGCATCAATTGAGGAAAAATTACTCTTTAGTTATTATAAAATGAACATGAATCCTCCATTAATTGTTTAAGGGTCCACAATGTATAAAATTTAGAGCAGCTATAAATATAACAAGGAAACAATACAATTCTGCTATCTAAAGCCATATACGCTGGTGTCATAACACACATACATTCATATTACATGAATTCAATAGTTTATGCTCACTGAGAAAGAGAGAGAAGTAATGTAAATACTCTGGGTACATCTGCCAGCCAGAACAAATAAAGGCACAGGAACTTGAAGCGAGCATGAGATTGGAATCCTGAATCAGTTATTCCCTTAATCATCTCAGTTTCCTCATACCTTTCAGAGTGTGAGCATCTCATTTTACATAGGATGATTCTGGTCAAATATATTTATTTTTCAGTGATGAGATTCCTATAGGTATGCCAACATTTCATCTGATCCTAATAAAAATAATTATGCATCTTTAAGCACTGAAGTATAAAGTATACATCTATTAAAAATAATAGTACACTTTTTAAAAAGAACTTCTATTCTGGAAAATAGCAAACACACCAAGCTTCGGCTATTAGCAAATCATCAATAATCTTGTTTCATCTCTATGATAACAGCCCACTGAGAGGGGATCCCGGTGTGAGGCTCGATTCCACAGACCCCGAGATCATGACCTGAGCTGAAAGCAAGAGTTGGATGCTTAACTAACTGAGCACCCAGGCACCCCTGCCTTCTCACTCTTTAAATATAATAATATACTTTAAGATATACTCTTTAGACATAAATTAGCCTGTGTTAATATTATTTTTTTACTTTTAATTTCCCTTGAATTACTATCCTTGACACTTATTGTAGTTGCTTTTCTGAAATTAAAATAAGTAATCTATATTGTTTTGATATTTGGATATTGAGATCTGCATACCTAATTTCATGTAATTTTCCAAGTGGTATAAGAAAATGCATTATTATTTGCAAAAATTGTAGAGATTTTAAAGTAAACTTTCTGAATAGACTCAATATGTTAGTTATTAGAAAAGTATTTTTCTTTTTGAAGAAATTCGCTGTCTTTTGTGAAGTCCTCTGTGTTATATGGACTGTGAGTGAGACTTCTACTATATTAGGTTCTTTTTAGTTCCAAAAGGCCAGGTATACTTCTTTTGAATTTTACAGGAAATAACTGATTAGAAGACATTTTCTCTCTTTCATTTGCATTCAACCAACATCAAAGATATGTATGATTGCACGCCATATACCATGTATTAGGTATAAGGCACCTTCCGGGTATTGTGGGTGGGAACAAGGTGAATTGGTCATAGTTCCTGCCCTATAGCCACTCACTTTAGTGTGGGAGGGAGACCCATTAAGAAGTATCTCTAATTCATACCAGAAAAAGAAACTGTTATAATGGAGATACAGTATATGATAGAGATATGCAAGAATACATGATAGAGAGTTATCAGTCTTGCCTGACTTCATGGCAAAGATGAGATGTGAGTTGGCTCAAATGAATGAAAAGAGAAGGATCTTCTAGGCAGTGAGAAAGTCTTGAGCAAAGATATGGAAACAGAAAAGTAAACATTGTTTAGAGAAATAATGATTAATCTGTTGTGTTTTGGACCTGTGTTTAACATGTGTCTAACGAATAGTTTAAGATGAGATGAATAATTTTGTGGAAAATTCAAATGCCTGGTTGTCAAGTTTTGACCCTGTTAGAAAGGGACACTATAGAACAATATTAAGCAAAGATGTATTATTACTATTTTTTTTTTACTTTTCTCCATGGTATTTATAAATGAAATAATGGTAGTGCATTTCAATATGTCTATTCATATGATTTTCTCTTTTTAATCTATAACTCTTCATATTGCTTTACTCTGCCCAGAGGAAGATCAGCATTGCTACATCAGAGAATGAAACAACAAAAGGGTGAGAGAACATCAGTAGTAAGTTTTGAATTGCAAAATTGTATTTTTTGTTCTTAGCAAGACAATAGCTTAAAATTTTAGTATTGCCACAATATAAAGGGAATTTCCAAATTTCTATAGCTTCCACTGAGGCATCTGGAGCCAGAGGTCTGACTAGATCTTATTGCTCCTTCCCTGGTGTGTGGAATGGACTCTGTTTTGAGGCTAAGTCCCTTGAGAAGAAGCAAAATATGATGAAGAAAAGAGGAGGAAGTAGAGAGCCCAACCACATGCTCCATCAGACTGTGGAAAGAGATGACAAAACCTGATGAGAAGAGAAAAGAACATCTATGGCAGAGAGATATCTTCCTGAAGGCATTGTGGCCTTGAGTATCCTTCTCTGTTACCTCTGCCTACGTAAGAAAGCTCATTTATGCTCACATAGCATGTCTCCAAAAAGCATGGAGGAAGAGAGGGTATCTGAAATACTTACCTGAGAAGGACAGAATCAACCAGAAGAGACAGTTTAATAGGGAAGAAATAAGAAATAAGTTAAAAGAGTATTTTGTTTTCCCATTCATCACTCAAAGAGATGAAGGTCTCAAAGGAAAATCAGATCAGTCATAGAAAACAAAACTACATTCGCTTTAAGTATCTGAATGTTGTTGTAATTTTTCTATTTACTACTCAAAGTGCTTCATCCATTTATAAATCATTATTTATTTCTTTTAATTAAACCATAGAATCATATAATAAAGAACTAAAAAGATTTCACATTGGTTTGTCAAGACTCATAGCAACTTGGTTCTCTCACTTGCTGGCTGAATCACAGGTTAGAACAAGTGACTCATGACCCAAGATGTAACGTGTCTGGAGAGTCTTATGTCCCCCATGAGGAAGGTGGCAGAGAAGCTGATAGGGAGGACAGTAGAGGAGGCTGAAAGTATCATGTCTGGCAGACAGAAGCCTTATGACTCCATGACTCTGCAGTCTAGATTATCTGGACCTAGTGATTACCCCTCTAAATCAGGTACTATCACTTTGGTGCACATAAGACCATATTAAATTTATATATCCTTTCTTGGATTGATTTTTCATTTAGTTGATTTTACAAAATAAATTTATATGCTTATATGCTTTTTCCTCCCCTCCTTATATCCATTGATCCTTTAGTCCCTAAACTAATTGCCATATTATCTGGTAAGGAATTAGATTTGGTAATATTAACTGATATTAACAAAAGTAGCATATTGTTTCAAGTATTCAAGTATATATTCTTTTATGGTAATAAAAGATGAAGAAAAGTACATTTGGAATTTTATGTAATATTGTGTTTTTAAACAGAACATGCATGTAATAAAATAAAAAATTATACCTAGTGATAGAAAACATATCAGTGGTTGTCAAGGAAGAAGAAGGGGTGGAATACTGGCACCAAATGGAACTCCTCGGGATGGTAGAAATGTTCTGTATCTATCCTGTAATGGTGCATCCATTTGTCAAAACTCATTGAACTGTACACTTAAAGTGTGTATAGCTCATTATATGTTAATTATATTTCAATAAAGGTAATTAAAAATATACAGTAAGCATAGTAATTTTGCCAAGCATTAAGGAAGTGTGCTTACTTGTGTATACCTGCTGGGCCGCTCACAAGCTGATTGACTTGGAGTAAGTGATGACCCCTCTGAACCTCAGTTTCTTTATCAAGTAAGAGTAACAGTAATATCTATTCCTTAGGGTCCGTATTAGGAAAATGTGGTAATATATGTAAAGCACATAGGAAAAGAAAAAGCAGATAGGAAGAGGTCCACGAATGCATATCCTCACCTACACTTCTATAGCCAAGTGAGAGCTAATTAAAAATATTTTTATTAATAGACCTGAATAATGCAATCCCAATTATAAGAGGAAGTTCTTTGATAAAACATCTAAATCAAAATATGTTTTATCATTCTAGTTTTTTCTAATGTAAAAGCATTCTTTCCCTATATTTCATTATTTCAGGAGAAAATATACTCAGTTCTTCTGACAAAAATTTTGAGGGGAAAATTTTTTTTAATGTGCTCTTAGTAAGGAGGATAACTACGGTGTGCTAATAATGGTCATATTGCTTTCTTCCATTGCTGGGACTCTAAAGTACACTATACCAATAATACACCAATAACGAAAACTATGAACTTTATTAGCTAATGCTATGAAGAAGAACTTCCTTTAAAAGTAAAAGATCTCAGTCTCTTTGGCTCTGTAGCCACTTTTGGAATGTTCCTCTGAATTCTTTTAAATCAGCCTAGTTTATGACCCAAAGTATCATGGTTACTTCAGTGTGAAGTTAATTCATTTAAACACAGACTAGCTTCTGATTCTGAGATTTACATTGTATCCAAAGATGGTATAAAATAGATTCACTCCCTCAGAATAAAATGATAAGAATTATTGCTCTTGGCCTCTCTATGACTGTTCCAGTCAACAAAAGTGTTGGCCTTGTAAAACGATGACTAAAAAGCTCACCATCTGAAAGCTAGAGAAGGAATGGTTGTACCACAAAGTATTTAAATCAGATTTACCCAGAAGTTGAGGAAAACCAGAGAAAAAGAAACTCTCTTATTTCTTATTTATTTATTTGCATTTTATATCTCATTTCCACCTGCTAATGAAAAGAACTGAAGAGGAGACATACAGTCTTGCACACTGTAGACACTTTAAAGGTTTAGAAAGAAAAAGAGGAATGGAATTAGGGTAGGTTTACTTAATTACTGTAATATATGCTAAATATCTTTAATTCCTTGTTACTGAGCAATGGTGATTACAGTTGGTGAGGAGCTCACCTTTGCTGCATTGTAGTGAAATGTGAACTATAATTTGGAACACAGTCAATTACTGTTTTGTACTCCAGCATTAAGACTTCTCTATAGCCCATTAATTTTTAGTGAAGTTTACAATACAGTAGGTAAGACTGCATGTTCTAAAGTCAGGCAAATCTGAGGTTGAACACATCCATTGGATGAGTAGTATGGACTCCATTCCTACCTCTCCAACTTGAAGATAATTAAAACCACCTCATAAGTTTTTGAAAGGATAAAATTCAATAGTACATGGCAAACACCTGTTTCTACCCCTGGCATATTATAGGCTTGACCAATCACCATTGGCCCCATTCATACAAACAGCTTCCTATGTCATAGGTAGTCATTACTTTTGTAAATGCTACTGAGAGTAACATTTAAAATCTTGTCCTTTTGTTTCTTCTATGCAAGATGGATGGAGAACCTGAACATCATACCCTTACACATTGAAACATATTTCTGTTTTAGTCAGCTCCTTTTTTCTTGACCGTCTATACTGGAATATATATGCCTTTGGTAAAACTCATTTCTTTCTCTAAATGTCCTTTTTCTGAAGATGTGACTATATTTTTCCAGCCTTTCCTGATAAATGCCTGCGTTTTCTGTCTTTTGCTTTTTTGGTAATGGATTACTCTGGGGCATCTTGTCTCCCTGTTTTGCTGTGTTTTGCCATCACCAGTTGTCTACTGGACAACTCCATATGAAGAATAACTGCATGTGAATACTGCATATTCAACACTAAATTCATTGTCTTTTCCTTCATCAGTTCTCCTTCCCTTGCATTCTTCCTTCCATATTCCTACTCCTGGTGGATGGCTTGACCAGACACTTTATTTTCTTATTATACATCTTGAAGGCCTCTTGATGTCCCATTTTTCTCTTACATATGTTACTGATCCAGTTCAATTCTCTGTACTGTTCAACATACAGCTTTTCTCTGATACTGCCATTCACACACCTTTCCAGCCATATGGCAAGATGATTCTTTCTTCCACATTTGCATTCATGCTGTTTTCTATATTAAAATGTTCTCTGAACAAGCTACAGTTTCAAAGCTCATCTACAATGTCAATTTTTCCATGAGGTCTTATTTCTTGGCAAGGCTTTTGGACTTTGTGCCATCAGTTCCCTTACTTTCTGATATAACTGCATCATATATATGCTTTGCCTTCCTTGAGGAGATCAATGGAAGGAAGACAGGCTCTGTGTCAGATGCCCTAGATTCCCTCTTAGTGCCATAATTTATCAGTTTTCTTTTCTATGAAGTGGGGTTAATGTAATACTGAGAAGTCATTGATATAATTAAATAAAATAATGTAACAGAATTCTTTAATTGAAAATTGGCACATATATAATAGTTACTTTTACTATATCTTTGAATTTGAATCTGCTATGGCCTAAACCAAAAGAAGTTAGCTGCATTGTTCAAAAATTGCATGTTTATTGACTGATTGGATTTGAAATTTAAAAATACATTAATTGCTTCATCTAAGGAAGAAATATTGAATATTTCTGATGAAGGATACATCAAGTCATATTTAGGATCATGATTTTTTTAAAACTTAGAAGTAGTTTAGAAAATGAATATCCTGTATAAAATGCCTGTATTTACTGTGAAAATGAAATTAAGGATAAAACCAATCAAGAAGAGACTAAACTAGCATATAGAGACTAAACTTGGCATATAATCCAGCCATATTGGCCCATTTCTATGATCTCCAGTTTCTTTGCCTCCAGACTTTCCCTGCTTTGATCCCTTTAATGCCCAACTTGGAGATAAATCTTCTAAAAATACCATTCTCATCATGTTGCTTTCCTATTTTGGAACCTGCGGGGTCTCCCCATGGCTTACTACATCAAGACCCTAATTCTCTGCCTGAAATTCAAGGTTCTACCTAATCTGGCCCCAATTTATCTACCCAACTTCATCACCTATTATTCTGGAAGATGTGATCCATAAAATCTTTCTATCATACATATTCAGTAGTTTATGACTTAGGATCTGACACTTATCAATGCCTCTAGGGCCATCTAAATAAAGTCTTTTTTACTGAAAACTTCCTTAACTGTTAGAATCCATATTATTAGTACCTGAATTATATCTCAAATCAAAATACACTTGTTGCTTAGAAAGTGTCAAGATCTACAACAGAAACTTTGAGGGGCATAAAGATGAATTAGTTACAGCCTTGA